AGTCCTTATTGTGCGCATAGCAAGATATACAAGACGAACAGTGTTGATTGTTTTATGCTTTGAGGTAACGGATCATGATTGATAATGAAAATGCACGCAACTAAACAGCGAGCTTTCTATGCTGGTTGTACCCTGTATACTGCACGCGGGCACACGCGGTGCCGAACAAACAACACATGCACTACGTGGCAGCAAGCAGACGCGCTATTTGTCGATCATTGTAGTGTTAGGCACGCACCAAAGTCATTTTGGGGCCTGTGGCTTGGCTTGGGGCAATGGTTCGGCCGAAACGAGCTGCAAGACCAGCGATAAGATGCGATGGGACGTGCATTACACTGCCACGCTTTTCAAGAACGCGCGTCAATTTCTCTGCATTACGAAATGCTCCCGAGGGATTGCCCGCTGTGTTGTGCCGCACCTCTCCTCGATGTGTGGAGGGAGCCGGAATCTTGTGTGCAAAGGTCGTACGTTGCGCAAGAAGCCTCTTTCTTTCCATGGTGTTTATTGAGGAGGCGGATGGCGCAGCCATTATTATTACCGGCTGCATGCCACGCAACGGCTTCTTTATGCAGCGTTTCTTACGGGAATTGTGACCCCGCTTAGTGTTTTTCTTTGTGCTGTTTCCCTGTGTGCGTAGGCTGCACAGTCTAACGTGACTAGCAGTGCTTTTGCGTGCCGAAGCTGACATCTGCTGAGAAAGTCGTGCAAAACGCACTCGCTTTGTTAACGCCCTTACCACACCATGCCTCTTTCTTTTTCATAAAATAAATAACTTACGTACAGCTCCTTTTCTTTCTTACTTCTAGTCGTACGTACTTTCCCCTGATTGAGGTTACAAAATTCCGGAACATAATGAAATTTACTTTATTGTTGTTGCAGGAGAAACAGAAAGTTGTATGTGCAGAAAGTTGTATGTGCATAGGTCATTCGAGGTTGCCAAAATAATCTAAGCGCTCTATAACTGACGTGCATAAAGTGTACACATCACATGCATGTTTAAACATCTCCAGCACGCTATGAAAGACTGAAAAATACGTATGCTAACGTCCCACAAGATGTTCTCAAATCAGCCGGTGGTGCGTGCATACAGCATGAAGCGCCATTTTCACGAGCAGAGGTAACTAATTATCGACAGCCGTACAGAAAAGAGAAGAAAAAATACAAGAAAGGCAGGGAGCTTAACCAGACTAAGTCCAGTTTGCTACCCTACACGGGGAAGAGGGTAATTTGGGAGAAAAACAGAGATTAGGAGATACACATTGCACATAACACACACACACACCGCACACACAGTTCAGGTTTCACAGGCGGTCGCACAGTGATGTTGCCCTCAATAATTGTACAAGGGCTCGTGTGGCTTTCTTGGGCTGAAGTACTTGAACGCCACGCTCCCAAGATCGTCTCCAGAGTAAAGGGTCGATCATCCAGCCTTCTTAAGGCACACTGCAGAGTCCAGCGATCTTCTTCAAAGTCTGGACACAGGACGTGGTGGAGAGTTTCTACACAATGGCAGTTATCACAGTTGGGGGAGTCAGTCATACCAATGCGATAACTCAATGAATTGGTGAAGGCAACGCCGACCCACAACCGACACAGCATTGTAGCATAGTCTTTCAATGGCTGCCTGGTCACTGTGGGATTGGTGGTAACCACCTCGCCGACAACGCTGCCCGATGAGCCCACGACGGTGTGCCCACACTGTTCATACCCCTGTCCAAGGGTTGATGTCGCAAAACAACTTCGCCGCATTGCGCATAATACCACACTGATGCATTGGAATCTTTCACTGAACCCCACCCGACGCCCACAGAACCTCGCTCCATTACTCCTATTACAGCTGCCACTACTCACACTTCGCGATAGCCGTACATATGCGCAACATGTATACGCCCCTCACACATACGTGCACGCAAATATGTAAAAATTAAAATAAATTGAATTAGAAGTAATAATAACCATTGATTGATTGATTGATTGATTGATTGATTGATTGATTGATTGATTGATTGATTGATCGCAGCCCTCGCACAGCTGGAGGTTCTGAACTCAGTGTTTTCAGCGCGTCAATAGTCCCCACGAATTGCGCATGACCCTCTCCATGGCCGCAATTTCCCTGTCGTATGTCTGAATGCTGAAGTCATGTTGGTCAGAAAAGTTTCTGGCCTCAGTTGCTGACTGACTGACTGTACATCTTTCGGTGTGCAGTGCTCTCCTTCTCTCCTCTCTTTGTCTTTTTAATCCCCATCTCCGTATCCCCAGTACAGGGTAGCAAACCGGACGCTCATCTGGTTGAACTCCCTACCTTTCTCTTCTTGTATATTAAGGGACTTTAAATCAGCTGCAGGAGTGTCCTCCCTCAACTTTTTATATATCACTTTATGGAGGTGCTCGTTCTTTCATGTTCCGGACACCTAAAAAACGCCGTGCACGAAGCCTAGCACGACACGAAATCCCACCCAGACCAACGAGCAAGGACAACCACCTGAATATGCGCTTCTCTGCAACAGCTACGATGACAACCTTTGCATCTGCCATGTACTAGCACCCCTCATCCCCGTGCGATGATCCAAAAAGCTGGCTGGAAACATATGCCCACTTTTCCCAACTGTGACTGCAACGAGAAATGGTGCCACATGTGTATTTTACTCGAAGACAGTGCTAGAAAATAGTTTGAAAAGTGAGACTACCTTTGACCTATTTTGCACGCTATTCCGGGATACCCTCACAAGTGTCGTCTATAAAAAAAGGGCCGAAGCTATGCTTAAAACCCATGCACAGTTTCCAAACGAGAACATCAGTATATATACTTAGGGAGTTCCTTTTTGTGCCATCATGCCATCCCAGCTTTGCCCGAAAAAAACAAAAAAAACAACCGAACTCGCGTTTTAAAGCGTGGAATGAAGCAAAACTGTTAGCTGTTTTTGTACGTAGCCCGCGGAAGACATTCAATAAGTTCCTTTCGGAAGCCGCTACAATTAAAAAGGCGCTAGAAAGACCCACCTCGATGGTCGAGGCTGCTGGCCCGATGGTCACGGGATTGAGTTCCGGACGCCATGGCCACATTTTCGATCAAAGTGAACATGCCGGAGGCCCGTGTACTTAGATTTAGGTGCACGTCTAGGAACCCCTGGTGGTCTAAATTAGGAGCCCTCCACTACGATGCCTCTCATAATCAAATTGCGATTTTCAGACTGAAGATCCCAGCAATTATTATTATTATTATTATTATTATTATTATTATTATTATTATTATTATTATTATCCAATCATCATTCGTCATCATCGTCATCGTAATCATCATCATCGTCATCGTAATCATCATCATCGTCATCATCGTCATCGTCATCGTCATCATCATCGTCGTCATCGTCGTCGTCGTCGTCATCGTCGTCGTCGTCGTCATCGTTATCGTCGTCGTTATCGTTATCGTCGTCATTATCGTTATCGTTGTCGTCATCGTTATCGTTATCGTCATCGTTATCGTTATCGTTATCGTTATCGTTATCGTCGTCGTCGTTATCGTTATCGTTATCGTCGTCGTCGTTATCGTTATCGTCGTCGTCGTTATCGTTATCGTTATCGTCGTCGTCGTTATCGTTATCGTTGTCGTCGTTGTCGTTGTCGCTGTCGTCGTTGTTGTTGTTGTTGTTGTTGTTGCTGCTGCTGTTGTTGTTGTTGTTGTTGTTGTTGTTGTGTTGTTGTTGTTGTTGTTGTTGTTGTTGTTGTTGTTGTTGTTGTTGTTGTTGTTGTGTTGTTGTTGTTGTTGTTGTTGTTGTTGTTGTTGTTGTTGTTGTTGTTGTTGTTGTTGTTGTTGTTGTTAAAAGGTTCTCAGCGTGCGTTCAAGAGAGTACAATCACCAATCGCTTACAACTAACTACGCCGATGTTCAAGCCCTTAGCGCGAACTAGCTGTGGGAGACGATCACAGTAATCGTGAGTGAGAACCTGCGCGTTGCCTGAATCACTGTCTAAAATATACAGTCAATCGCTGACCTTTTTCACATAAAAACAGCGCCAAAAATGGAGAACAATAAAAATAAGAAGACACAAAGAGAGACAAACTTACAGCAAGCTTTATTTGCTGGAACCGAGCAATATATACTTGAGCAGTATCTGACAAAGTATATATGGAAAGACGAAACAAATAAAACGAAATTCACCTAAGATCACGTAATCATCGTGATAGCGTCCATGAACATCACGTGTGCCAGCGTTATGAAGAAAATCTATTTCTGTCTGTTATAGCGCAATCGAAGGTCTTCTGACACATGCATTGCCCAGTCTTGCCATTAGTGATTGATTTGATATGTGTGGTTTAACGTCCCAAAACCACCATATGATTATGAAAGACGCCGTAGTGGAGGGCTCTGGAAATTTTGACCACCCGGCTGCATTTCCGCCTCCATCGGAAATGCAGCCGCCGCAGCCGGGATTCAATCCCGCGACCTGCGGGTCAGCAGCCGAGTACCTTAGCCACTAGACCACCGCGTCGGGACGCGTCTTGCCATTTATGCGGCCTCATAATTTTCGCGTATCATCTGATCCCGATGACGCTTAACGACAGCCCACTGCTGAAAGTCTAGGGAACAGACGCAGTCACGGCAATGCATGCTGGGTGGCACAATACTATAGAGACGTTGTGAGCGTGCTCTTTCAGCCGTTCATGTAAACACCGGCCAGTTTGGCCGATGCATCTTTTGCCGCAGGACAAGGGTAGAGAGTACACCCCCCCCCCCCCCCCCTCGATGCACGGAACGAACTTTTTCCGGTGCTTGGTTTGGCAGGATCGCACTCCCCTGAAACCAGGATTCATGGCCTTGCACATTTTCGCCAGCTTTTCTGGGGCGGAAAAAACCAAATCTACGTTGCACCTGCTGCCCACTTTTTTGGGGTTGTGGGCGACGTCGTGGATATAGGAAATGACGACAAAGTTTTTCCAATAATACTCGTTGTTGGGCTAGTTGGTGCATTGCTTCAGATTCTTCGTGGTGAAGACACACAAGCCACACATGCCATTCAGGTGTATCGTCAGTGAACGCGGTACTTGGTTACAACAAGTTAGCTCTTTTTTATTTGACCACTTGCGGGGGCTCGAGTTGCGGGACCCATTCTTAACAAAGAATTCGACAGATGTCATTGCTTTTCTAAAAAAGAAGCAGAAGGAAATAGGTTTTTTATTTTCTATTGATGTCGAGGATTTGTTCTACTCTGTACCGCATACAGAGCTGTTTAAGTCTGTCCGAGAGTGCATTGAGTGTAATGGAACTGTTGCATTTCAAAATTCTGTGGGCATTAGTGTGGACAAGTTTATGTCGCTCCTCGAGTTTTACCTTCGGGCGACGGTTGTTTCCTTTGACTCAGGCTTGTTTGTTCAAAAGAAAGGGATATGCATTGGATCTTGCGTTGCCCCTGTGCTGTGTAATATTTTTTATCTTCCATTGACCGGGATTTAGAATCCACGTTTGACAAAGGCACTGTCCTGCAAATTTTTAGATACGTGGATGACTTTTTGGTAGTTTTAGCAGCTGATTTTAATCTGACTTATGACAACACCGTACAAAGCGTATTAGGCTACTTTAAAAACCTAGGGAAAGGCCTGAGTTTTACGCATGAGGTGCCGCTGAACAATAGCCTCCAATTTTTAGACATAAACATTAGATGTTGTGATGGAAACGTGTGTTGGATGTATTCGCCAAGAGCAAAGAAAGAGCTGTTACCGTATAACTCTTCACACTCTAAAACGGTAAAGAGGGCCATCGGTTCTCTTTGCCTTGAATCTGCCCTGACAAAGTCATGTGAGCACATGCTTGAGACGAGCTTCACCGCCCAGATAGAGAGACTAAAAAACGCTGGCTTTCCCAGTTCTGTTTTGTCAGCTGTTGCTGAAACGTTACTACAAAAAATGAAAGGAAAAAAGAAAACCAAACAGACAGGTCCAGAGCAGAGGATACCACAGGTGTTGCCCTATACGCACCGTGTAGCGCATGGCTTGAAAAAAGTGGCGTTCAGGTTTGGAGTGTCCGTGGTATTTTCCGCACCAAGGAAATTGGGTGGTTTGTGTGCACGCATCGGGAAAAAGAAGAAGTTTCAGTGTGAGGCGAAGCATGGGAAGGTTTTTGTGAAGTGTGTTGTTGGCGTGGTGTATGCAATTCCATTGACGTGCGGGATGTTATACATAGGCCAAACAGGGCGTTGTGTGAATTTTAGGGCCTGGGAACATTTCAAATCACTTGAGAAAGGCACAGGCTCCAATCTAGCCCTTCATTGTAAACAGTGCAATTGTAAGCCACTGCTGAACGAAATCAAGATTTTAGGCAAAAGCCATGAAAAATTGGCACGGGAAATTTTGGAAGCTTTTCATATTGCAAAGAGTGGTGAAGCATGCTGCAGCGATAGCTCCGTGACACTGCGCAGGAAGGAAAACACGTTCCTAGAATCTTGTTTGTAATCTGTAGCGATTAGTAGAGCGAAGAAAGCTTTGAATGATTATGAGTCAGTTTATTACTTTGGGCAATTTTTGGTTATTTTTTAAAGAGCACTTAGCTTCACCATGTGACCGTATGAGTATATATACTTGAGCCACGCATATGTGAATAAACAGTTGGTAGTCTGGCCTCTTTCCTGTCTCCTTCTTCGTTTCCTGTGTGCGTTATTTTATTGGCCGGAAGTTTTTCATCTGAAGACAAAGTTTTGTTTGTCGCGTCTTTTTGCACGGGTTCGAGCGTTAGTCACTCGGCTCATTCTGATTTTTCTGGGCAGACACTCAGCAACGGCGGCCAAAACGTGCATAAGGAAACCAACCTCGATGAGTTAGCTGATTGAAGCTGCACCGAATCATGTGATGGCAAGACTTTCGTAGTGCGTGTATGGCGTGTCTTCACATTAGCGTACTACTTTTGAGTGTGCCGACCCAAAATCAAGGATTGACTTAATTGCACGCGGTTTATACGTCGAACACACGTGGGGAGGACCTGATGTTAACATGTAGTTGAGGAACGTGATGTTCCCTCTGTCCGGAACTTCAACGTTTCGAAAAATCATAGAAAGGCATTTACTAAACATTTCTAATATACTATCAAAGAGGCTGCTGGACCAACGAGGTTTCAGCATGAAACAACACGAGGAAATCATCGACATAGCAGCCACAAAGGCGCATGCACTACTCACTTGAGTGCACGTCCAGGTGACCCTGTTACGAAAGTGCCCTGCTGTGCTACCTCCATCTACGTCCAATAAGCCCCACCTGGACCTCTAAAGTGACGTGACAATATGTACTCTAAACAGCTGCAATTATTCTGACGCAAAATTGAAAACACGTACTATCAATGGCAAGCTTGTTATAACGAAGGCTCTTCCTTTAAGTTTCTGGTGAATGTTCCTCGATTATTTATCCCTTAATTTCTTTATTTTTATCTTTCTTGACTTAAGCATGCACCAAGAAACGTCGTCCCGAGGAGCTCTCCGGCTCTCCTTTTTCCGCGAGGTATCCTGATTATATCTGCGCAGGATTGTAACAGGTAAGTGCACGGTAAGTGCGTCTCAAAGGTAAGATTCCGGCCCGTATTCACAAACGCGCCTTGACTCGAGCACCGACATCAAGAGATCCTTGAGACTTTTCGCATTGCACAAATTGCTACGCGGAACAGTCGTCACGGATCCCTTGAGGTTGATTTTCAAGTCGAGGAGCGTTTGTCAATACGGGCTTCACAGAATGCGTGTGCACGTGCGAGTCATACTAAGCCTTAATTGTGATATGATTCAGAACGAGGGAAAATACATTCTAGTGGGTTGTAAACAGGCTTGAACTCCTGTCATTCTTGTCGTTCGCGAAGCCGAGGGAAAGAAAGAGACAGAGAAATCAATAACATCAATAAAAACACACGAATGAAAGCTTGACCTAATTTGTTGCGTTCGTAATACCCCCTGTACGCTATATCACATGTGCCAACAAACAAATAGTGATTGTGACTTCGTGGGATCCTTATGGCACAAAAAATATCGTCGCGTCTGACCACTTTGTCATCTGACTACCAAAACGTAACTCTTCTCACTTAAGCCTCATAGGGTGCAGGCTCAGGTTGCGCCTCTCACTTTTGTCTTAAGTGATGTCAAGACGTCTAACGCATCCAAACTCGCATTAGTTCCTAAGAGTTCCTTTGAGAATGCGGCTCGTTCTACGTCACCTGAAGAATTAATTTATTCTCATTCTAACGTACAGTTGTCCTAGTTCACCTGCGCTAGTTGGCTCTCCCCTTCTAATCTCCAGACAGACTCTGTTTTGTCAGCACTCATTAAATGAAAGCTCTGAATCGGTGTTTCCTGAGAGAATGTTGCGAAGCCAGAAGGACCCTGTTAGGCAACCCTCTTCTCAAAATCAGCTAAATCCCAGAGAGCGGGAAAATGAAGGGGCAACTGGGTTTTCGAAGTCGACCGAAAACAGTCACAATTCATCAAGTTCATCTGCGACTTCTTCGCGCCATGAGACAAAACGGCCACAGTGACTTTCAAGACTTTTTGACTTAAGGGCGGATGTACAGATTTCTTTATAGCCGTGGCTAGTGGGCCAGTCACGACATCGTAAGAATTGGGTGTTGTATTGTAGTGTATGTTGTCTTCGCATCGTCGGGAAATGATATTGTCGACTGTATGAAGTTGGGCGTGTTGGTAAGACACCACTAATGACGTAACGTGCTACGTATGTGAGACACAGTACAAGGCACGGGACAAAGCGGAGCGCTCCTTTCCAAAAATATACAGTTAAATGTGCGTGTGCGTGTGTGTTTGTCTGTATGTGTTTGTGTGTGATTACCATATTTATGTTCAGGTTTCCCTTTTGAACTGTGCTGTCCCAATGTTTGTTAAATTTTGTCGCACCGTCTTTCACAAACCAGCTTTGTTCAGCTTGTGTACTAAGTGACAGGCATTAAACGGGGGCACTTAAACGGGTCAAATATTTTTTTTAAATCTACAAAATATTTTTCCCGGTTTGTGTTGGATGGAGAAAAATTTTATGTCAACATCTACTTTAAATAATGCCTCAAAATCATCGCGATACAAAACAATGCGTGAGCGTTCTAGAGCCACATGTCCAGGAGTGGATAGCTGGTTTCCTTAATTTACATGATAACTTAAAAAGTAGGCTAAGGGCCATTCCTTCGGTTTGGCGTTTATGTTGGTGTGCGTTATCACAATCATTGTAATTATATTTATGCACATTATAAGTTGGGGGGCATGGAATTTCTTACTTCAACAACGTTTCGAACAGTTTTCTGCTTATATTGCCTTAATCTAACATCGGCTCAGAGCTGCGCTGTCTTCATAAGCGCCAACAACTGGGACACCCCAGCACGCGGAACGAACAGCTTCGCCTTCGAGATTGCCTTCTTTTTTCTAGCCCATTTCTTTTCATTCACGTGACACAGTTTACTGCTTACAAACCTCTTCACTTCCACTAGCGCCATTCATTGTCATTAATGCGTAATATTGCTCACTTTATTCGCGTACCATGCTCTTTTGTTTCACGGCTGAGCATACAAAGCTCGCTTCATACGTGAATGTATAGCACCGGAGCATATAACACTACCCACCCTGCGAACACAGCGAATGAAATTCGGCCCATTACAAGAAAGGGCTCCGAGTCACTGTATCCCCAAGGTGGTCCTAAGTATGGTCGTAATGAGCCGGCTCTAAAAAGAAAAGCACAAAAGCCGGCAGCGAAAAGGGAAGCCAAGCCGAATCCAGTTTCAAGCGAGCAACGTGAACAGGCGATCCGAAGGCTGAAAGAAAGTCGTGTTCAACCTTTATCACAGCTCGGCAAAGTTCAACCGAAGTTCGGCAATTCACTACACTGTTTTTAAGGGAGGTTCCGCTCTGTGTTCACGCATTTTCGTTATCTACTAAATTCTCCCGTCGGTTTACTGAAGCGACAGTACGTCCCTTTCCAAAAGATGTAGCTACTACGTGGACTAAGCGAGCTTCTGCGAAAAGAAGAAAACGCCGAAAGCAGGAAAGGTAGCTGCAGAAACACCGTTCCTTCTCGTCATCCCGGATATCAACCTTGTTGTGCCGCTTTCACCGTTATTGTTGATTATATTTTATTGCACGTGCTTCGCCTCATAGTTTATTTTGTGGGCTTCGAAGCGAACGCTTCTGCCTTGTGCTTTGATTGCCCTAAGCATTAAATCGGTCCCGCTAATATTTCCGCCACATGAAAAGTGCACATTCCCGGCATTCCGTCTTTATTAGCTTAAAGCCCCTTTCTTCTTGTAGGGTTGTTAGAACCAGTCAGACTGGTTTCCTTTTTTTAATATTTTGCTAGCAGTTTCTTTGTGTTTTCTTTTTTATTTGTTATTGCGAGAAATTTCAGCCGCAATTTCAGCCGAGAAATTTCTCTAAGCTGTCGTTTAATGAACCCTTTGATGTGAGAGAGATGACTACGGGGGGATTGGCGGAGGGATAACAAGGGCAATCTTCTTTATTGTTAAACAACATTGTGTAGGTGCTTCGTTTTTAACACCACCCTGAAACTCACTCCTCCTTCCTTCGTAGGTGAAACAAAACCTAACCTCAGAATATCCACGGATTCTCTGAACACCCGCGCCTAAAACCCACTGTGCTCTTAATCTGCTTGAGGGATCCCCTTTGACAAATGCAAGGGTTCATCCACCTGCATTACTAAGGCTTTCCTGCACATACGCAGGTGATCGGGGATACTTCGAACGTAACTTCATATATTCTTGCAATCGTCGAGAAGTATAGTAGTATTTTTCAAATATTTATTCGGTTAAAATTTTTAGATGCCTCATGAAACGTGAAAATTGATCATCGGCATCCCGCGGCGTCAGCTTCAAGACTAGTTATGCATAAAAATTGCGTTTATTTATTTATTTATTTATTTATTTATTTATTCATTTATTTATTTATTTATTATTTACTACTTGTGCTTCATTATTTATTTCCTTACAATCCCAATCTTTCCATGTGCTCGACTCTCCCCACACACCTCTTACATTGCAAGGTAAACAGCGACAACTGCCTCTGCCTATCTTCATATTTAAAGGTGCGCGAAGTGAACGCAGAGACCGCAGAGAACGAGAAAAAGAAGGGCAACACGATGTCGAGCTCAATATGACGCTGGACGTTGCATGTTCTGTGTTTCTTTCGCTTTACGCACTGTACTTAGCACCTAAATAAAGATGTGTGAACACAAACATGCCACTTTGGAAGCTCCACTCACCCTGCGCATGACCTCCCTGCCTTTATGCGTACTCTCTCTCTTTTTCTCTCTCTCTCTCTGTCTCTCTCTCTCTGACTCAGTGTGAAGAGATCATCATTTCTGGTTGTTTTAAGTATGTTTTCACCCAGCGCTTTAGTGTTCAAGGTGGTGCACGCTTTACA